AGCCACAGCCGACCCTGCAGTCCCGGGGGCTGGGAAGAAGCGGTACCCGACTGCCGAAGAGATCTTGGTGCTGGGGGGCTACCTCCGACTCAGCCGCAGCTGCCTTGCCAAGGGGTCCCCCGAAAGACACCACAAACAGGTAGGGGAGCAGCCAGGCCAGACTTCGGAGAGGCCCACGCATGGCTTCTCTCTGGACTCCGTCTTTCTTTCATTGTGATCCCCCTGTCTTCTTGTCTCTCTCCGTTCTTTCCTGCGGATTCCTGCCAGCGCCCTTCCTCGCTCACGCCCTTCCTCGCGGCCCTCCATTCACTTCTGCGCCCTGCAATCCTGCCCAGCCATCCTGCCCGGTGCTCACTGGCTGTCTCTGGGTGTGTCTTTCAGGGTGTGCCCGGGCTGCTCGCTCTGCCTTCCCTCGGGCCCTGACCCCTCTCCTGCCCCTTTGCTTTATTTCCTCTGAGTCTGTGACCTACCCCAGCCCCCTGGTGGGGGACCGGGCCCAGGCTGACAACCTGGAACCTGAGGGGGCAGAGGAAAGTTCTGTCCACTGTAGGTGCCAGAGCCCTGGGGGAGGCGGGGGTCAGGGTGACCACAGGGAGAAAGGGCACAGAAGAGTGAGTGGAGGAAAGTCTCCCAGCCCCTCGGAGGAGGGGGCAGAGCTGATCAGGGGACATCCTAGGATGGGGGGGGAGACAGAACAGGGCCAGCCAAAGAGGAGAGAGAGGCTTTGGAACTCAGAGTCTGCCCCACGGGAGAGACGCACACAGAGGCCATTTGAAGTGGGTGACCTCGGGGTTGCCCACCCCCAGCTGGGCTACTGCTTCAGACAGTACTCCCTTCTCTCTTGGGACAAGAAAAGCCTTCTCCTTGTCCAAAATCCCCCCCGCCCCTCACTCCCCCTCCTTCCTCCCTGGCCTTCCCCTCCCTCCCAGAGCTGGCTCAGCAATCGGTTTTCCCCTCTCTTCCTGCCACCCTGGCCTCTCTGTCCCCCTAGGGTAGAAAAAGACAGAAGTGCTTTGGAGGCACAGGGCTGAGAGCAGTGAGTAGTGGGAGCTGGGGACAGGGTAGGGGTGAGGCCGGCATGGGGGCAGAGCTTAGGCCTGAGCAAGGACCTGCAGGGAAGTGGGAGCAGCCAGGCTGACTTCTCCCCTCGGCCTGGCCCAGCTTCTTCCTTATACCCACGGGTCAGTTTCCAGCTCGGAAACCCCCGGGGGGCGGGGCGGGCCCCAGTCGGCCGGACCCTGCAGTCCCTCTGCTGGGCACGCCTCTCCCAGGGCAGGAGACAGCCAGTCCGGTCCTCACTCCTGGGCTCCCGTGCCCAGATCTGCTTTTCCTTAAGGTCAGCGGGGAGCAGTGGGCCCAGAGATCTGGGTTACGAGGACCTTTGGTCCTCCAGTTCATCTTCACAGGCAGCTGCAGCTCCCATCCCTGGCGTGGTCCCTAAGAGTCAGGGCACCCCACACCCCTCTGACTGCTACCACCCTCCCCGGGCCGGGGCCGGGCCGGGGCTGGGCCGGTGCAGAGGAGAGGGGATGGGGATGGGAAACGGGAATCCTCCCTGGGGAGGCGATCAGAACAGTCACTTCCTCCGGAGGCTGGCTGTGCCTTCAGGGAGGAGTGAGCAGGGCTTGGAGCTGGGAGGCCCAAAGCCCAGGGCCCATCCCAGGGAGGTCAGGGAGCCAGGAGCCCAGTGCAGGGCAGGACCTGCGGTGCTGACCATCCCCAGGTCAGGGAGCAGGGGAGCCGGAAGCAGGTCGCCCAAACAGGAAGCCTGGGGCGGGGGCCGGAAGGCTGGTGGGGCTGTGAGAAGCCCGGGCCTGGGCCTGCCAGGCCCGCTCAGGATGTGGTGAGAAGAGGAAGCCGCCGTGGGGGTGGGGAGGCAGCGGGAGGCCTGGACCAAGGCAGGCCTGGGTGCGCCTTGTCCCAATCCCAGCCTGCCCAGCGCTGGCTCGGGGTAGGACGACCTAGTAACTACTGCAGGGAAGCTCCTTCACTGTCCACCCTGCCACTGGAGCCCAGGGCTGTGGGTTGTGCCCTTCCCCAGAGGCCCCACTGAGAGGCCAGCCCCTCCCCTCCCAGCCTTGCGACCTTATATAGCTGATGGGAGAGGAGCGGGTGAGTCACCCCTCCCACCCCCCACCCCCTTAGGCTGTGCATTCCTGAGAAGCCCAGTCAGAAGTTGGGGTGGGGGGAGGCGGGGTGGCGCACAAGACACAGACCGAGCAGATAATCAATGACAGAAGTTGGTATTCCAAAAGGGGACGTGCAAACAGAATGGGTTCCCCAAAGTTTGGGTACACCTGTTGGTGCCAGAACCGGCAATGGTCCCCTTGGAGATGCGTCAGCCGGTGTCACCGCTGTCACTGATTCAGTCAGCAGTTCCTTAGACACAGGCTTAGGCCGGCTGCGGGGGGGCCGGGCCACCCCACGCTGGTCCCTCGATTTGGCCTTTTCCTGGGACCTCACTGAGATCTGGACAAGCAGTTCTAAGCCCCTCGGACTACAGGCGTGAGCAGGATAAGTCAGCTCTCTCGTGGGCTCTAAGCTGGGGAGTAGTTATAGGAGACAATTTGAATGGGCGGAACTTAGAGCATCAGGAGGTGGGGGGTGACAGTGGCAACTTCAGAAGAGCCCTAGCAGGAAGGCCAGCAGGAAGGAGTGAGGCCTGGAGGTGCTAGAGGAGTGTCCAGGCCGAGGGCATGGCCAGGGCGCAGGCCTGATGGGAGCACACCGGTGGGCTGGGAGGAGATCCAGGCCAGCACGGCTTGGAGCATCCTGCAGGCTCCGCTCGGACTGGCTTTTGCTTCAGTGAGAAAAGGGGGGTGGTCGCAGGGTCCCCATAGTCCAGTCCCCGAGTTCTGGCTTCCCAGGGGACCCAGGTGTCAGCTCCCACACTGCCCTGAGCAGCCACCTGCCCAGCCACCTTCCTGGCTTCTCACCCCAGTCAGTGTGGGGCCCTAAGCTGCAGGGCCCCAGCCCCATGATCGGTGTCAGGAGAGCAGGTGTCAGGAGGGCCTGAGTGGGTCACCTGGACCTTCCCTTCCGAGGAGGCCCACCCTCATCCCTCTGTTCCCGGCATTAATCCCACCTTGCCCCTTCCCCTGAGCTTCTTAAGAGGGCCAAGGAGAAGGGGAGAGGCAGCGAGCACAGCAGGCTCGCAGGCCCCTGCTCGGGCACAGGCATGAGGAAGTTCCTGCCCCCTCTGGTCTTCGCCCTGTGTCTCTGCTGCCCTTCTGTGGACCTTCCTCTCTGACCTTGTCACTCCCCAGCTGTACCTTCCAGGGACTGGGGGCTCTTCTTCCCCACCGTGTGTTCCACTGGGCCTTCTGCTCGGCTCCGACCCCTTCCCAGGCCAAGTCCAACTGCAGAGAGGGGTCGGGGCGGGGCAGGTGTCCAGGGCACTGGGTTGTCCAGGGGGCAGCAGGGGCCCGGAGGTACAATGTGTTGTTCTCTCTCTCTTTAAGAATTATTTTATTTATTTTTTTGGGGGGGAGGGGAGAGGATTTGGCTATAGGGCGTGTGCACTCGCCAGACAGACAGAAAGAGACAGAGAGACAGAAAGCAAGAAATCCCCCCCCAGGGGGTATGGCCATGCCGCAATCCCTTCTCCTCCATTCTCCTCTCGGGATCTTGGGCACGCACGCACACGCGCTTGGTGTGAGTTTAAGCCACCAGGTCTGGGACGCGAACTGTGGTCGACTACGTGGGAGTCCAGCGACATAGCCATTACGCTAACTGCTGGTCCCAAGAATTATTTTAACTTTATTATCATTTTCCAGTTTGATCAGAGAGAGAGAGAGAGATGGAAAATGAAGCAAGGCACGAGGTCCAGGACTCCAGTAGCCATCAGCCGCGTGGAGCCCAGCACCTTTAATGACCAGGCCAGCATGGCCCTCGGTTCTTCCTCTTCTTTAATTGCCAGAGGGCACGGGTGCTTACCAGAGAAAGGAAAACACTCCTCCATGGGGTGTGGCGCGGTTAGGCTGCAATCCTCTTTCCTCCCTCCTGTGGGGATTCGGGCATGCACGCACATGTGCCTAGCATGCTTTTCCAGCCACTGGGGGAGGGATTCAAACCGGGGTGGATCATGCGGGACCCAGCTTCCTGTGCACAGGGCTTAGCCACTGCACTGTGGGGTTGTTCCCCAATGAGTCTGTTCCTGCTTTGGCTGGGACTCCCTCCCCAGTCAGCTGGAACCTCACCTCCTCTGGGAAGCCCACCTGATTGCCACCAGGGTGTGCAAAGACTCGTTCTGATTACAGGACCACTTTCCACCTATTTTAATTTCTTCCTGTCCCCCACACTCTAAAGAGCAGGGAACACGGTCCTGTGTTACTCGCTTCTGCCAAAGCGCAGGCCAAAGTCTGGTAGTGAGCTGAGGTGACCCAAGAGGTGAAATCCAGGATTGGAGAAACTGATAGAAACCGGGCTCCCAGAGAGGGCTGGGGGTGAGGGGGAGGGTGTCAGCGGGTGCTGGGGCCACTTTCTCGGCCAGCTTTGCAGGCCCGCCCCCCTCTGCTGAGCTGCCTTCCCCGCTCTCTCTCCCACTCAGCTCAAAATCTCCTTCAGCGAGACGGCCCTGGAGACCACGTACCAATACCCCTCGGAGAGTTCAGTACTGGAGGAGCTGGGCCCGGAGCCTGAGGCCCCCAGTGCCCCCAGCCCCCCAGCGGCCCAGCCCGACGACGATGACGACGAGGAGGAACTCCTGCTGCAGCGGGAGCTCCAGGGCGGGCTGCGCACCAAGGCCCTGATCGTGGGTAGGTGGAGGCGCCGCTGGCCCAAGGGCGCCCCCTGGTGCCCGAGCCTGCACTGCGGCCGCGGCGGGGGGCGTAGAGGAAGGTTTCATGTTGATGCTTGAATGGACCTTGGTAAAGCCTTAACTAGGCCAACTTTTTTTTTTTTTTTAAGAATTCTATTTGTTTTTAATTTGACCAGAGAGGTACAGAGTGAGAGACAGAGTGAGAAAGCAAGCCGCCAGGCCTGGGACTGGAGCTGCCATCAGCCATGTGGGAGTCCAACCACCATACCACTTGCAGGCCCCTCTTTTGAAACTTTTTTCCCTTTTTATTTTATTATTATTATTTTGCTATAGGGCATGTGCACTCACCAGAGAGAGAGAAGGGAATGGCCACCCTGCAATCCCTTCTCTTCCATTTCTCCCTCCGTCTGGGATTTTGGGCACGGGTGTACACACACCCTGCATGATTTTCAAGCCACTGGGTCCAGGACCTGTACAGTGCAGTCAGCTATGTGTCTAGCTGCCCTGACCCCCACAACGTCGGCTGGCCCCACAGATGGGGGAAGCTGAGGTCGATGAAGTGAGGTGCACATTCAGTTTCCAAATTTCAAAACTAGGGCTCTTTCTGTGTGCTCTGGTCTGGTTAAAGCACAGCGTTTGGGTCAGAGCAGCCCACTTTTTTTGGGGGGGGGAGTTTTTGCTAAAGGGCACGTGTGCTTACCAGAAAGACAGAGACAGAAAGCGAGAAATCACTCCAGGGGTGGTGGCGATGCCACCATCCCTTCTCCATTCTCCTCTCGGGATCTTGGGCACGCATGCACACGCGCCCGGCGTGAGTTTAAGCCTCCGGGTCTGGGACTCGAACCATGGTCAACTACGTGGGAGTCCAGTGACACAGCCATTCTGCTAACTACTGATCCCGGGGTAGGTCATTTTCGTGAAGCCCCTAGAACTGTGGTTGGATGCACTGCACTTCGCCTCCCCGGAGTTGCTGTGGGGACTAGAGGAGTTAGAGGTTGCCTGGCCCAGTCGGAGCGAAGTGAGAGAGGGCCGTTGCCCTGGGTGGTGCCAGGCACCAGAGCAGGAAGGCACCGGGGTTTCTCCATGCCGCCCTTCTGTGCGGGGACAGGGCGGGGGCAGCGGGAGATCCAGGCCCCGCTCACTGCTGTGGTTGCTTTCTCTCCCACAGATGAGTCCTGCCGGCGGTGACCTCTTCCAGCACAGAGCCACACCCCCTCCTTCCCAGAACCGAAGACCCCGGAGCCCAGAAGGTTCCGAGCAGAGACCCTGAGAATGAGCCTTTCAGGGCAGGGCGGCAACACCCTCTGACGTGCTTTCCCACCCTGCTTCTGCGGCAGAGCCAATGGTCCCGGGTCCCCCCTAACCCACGTCGCTGGTGTGGCCGGGTCAGATGTCCTGGTTCCCCCCGGGTGAGCACCGAGTGCTGGGGAGGGGCCCAGAACTCGCTGTGGGTGGAGATGGAACAGCCCCATCTCCGTGGCAGGGAGCCTTCGTGATCCCCCCAGCACCCTCTGGGGACCCTCAGGATTTAAGCAGTGTTCCCCGGGAAGGCCTAGACCCCACGGCACTCCCAGGGCGCCCCCTGCCTGCTCCCTCGGTCGCTGCCCTTTTGTTTACAGCCCCTGTCCCTCTTGGCCGTCTCCTGGTTTACAAGCCCACCAGCTCCCGGCCCCACCTGCCAAAGGCCCAGGTCTGCCAGCCACGACTTGCCGTGCCCACGTGGAACCCTCCCCCTTCTCCTCCAGTGGTCTCGCTGGGAGTGGGCAGGGGTGCGGCTTCCTCCACTTGCGCTCAGTATTACCGTGCCTCAGTGTTCCCCATGTGGGAAGACTGGGAGCCCTAACTCTGTACCCCTGATGGTTATTTAATGCTCTTCCTGGTGGTTCACAGGTGAATCGAACCGCAGTCACGTGGGGAACTACGTAGGTGCCTCCCTCTGCCCCCACTGCTCCCCTATATCCACTGTCTATTTTGTTTGGTTTGGTTTTTAACTTTCTGTAATAAAATGGAGCTCTCTCCCACTCTGTTGCTGCTTTAGGAATGAAGTGCGTGCAGAGGAGGCTTGTGGCAGGCCAGGGGGAGAGTGTTAGGGCTGAATCGGGAACTCGGGGCTGCGTGTAGAAAGGGACCTGTGCACGGGTTTCTGGGGGGGTGGGAGGGCCACACCAGACGTGCCGGGAGAGCAGACCCCTTGGGTGGACTCACTGTAGGACCCCCATAGCTGGCACTGAAAACATACACGGTGAGTTCCAGAACCACTAAATGAATGAGTAGGTGAGCACCAGAGAGTCGGGGAGGACAGCCCGAGTACTCAGAAACCGTGAGCGCGGAGCCGGCGTGGCGCCCCTCACCTGCCATTTCACTTCCTGAGGGTTCATGTACCCCCAGCCAACCCAGGCCCGAAGATGGCAAACGGGAAGGCCCAGGGTTACACGGAGTGCGAAGGGCGACATCACAGAGCCCGTGCGATTCGCTTCATCGCATTGCGCGGGCATTTCGGCATTACAAGCGGGGCCAGTTCAGTGCAGTAAGGTGTGCGTGTGCATTTTAAGACATTGTAAACTTATTTATTTATTTCAATTTGGCCAGAGAAGGACAGAGTGTGTGAGAAAGTGAGAAAGCAAGCTGCCAGGTCTGGGATGTGAACCGAGTTCAGCGCCCCTCACCACCATGCTGCCTGCCAGCCCCTGTGTGTTTCCTTTTTAAAGAGAGATTTTTGCTGTAGGGTATATGTGCTCACCAAGGAGATGGAGAGAGAAAAAGTGAGAAGTCACCTCCCCAGGGGGAGGGCCACACTGCAATCCCTTCTCTTCTATCATCCTCTCGGGATTTGGGGCACACATGCACATATGCCTGGTGTGATTTTCAAGCTGCAGGGTCCAGGACTCCATTTTGCCACCTGCTGACCTTATTTTTTTGTTTCTTTTTAAATATTTTGCCATAGGGTGCATGCACTTGCAGGAAAGAGAGATGGTGAAACTCCCCTCAATGGGATGTGATTCGCCTCAATTCCGTCTTTCATTTCTCCATTCTGTGTGTTTTCAGTCTGCCAGGTTCAGGATTCGAGCTGCATGGTTGGCCACGTGGGGTCTGGCTCCCTTAACCACTGGACTAGAGGACTGGTCCAACAATAAGATACATTTTTTTGTTAAAATTATTATTTATTTTATTTTACTTATTATTTTGTTTGCTATAGTACACATGCATTCATCAGAGACAGGCAGACAGAGAGAGAAAGAGAGAGAGGGAAAGTGAGAAAGCAAGCCACCAGGTCTGGGACCGCGGTCGGCCATGTGGGAGTCCAGGGCCTTAGCCACCACACCACCTGCCAGCCCCCAACAATCAGAGAGAGAGAGAGAGAGAGAGAGAGACCACATTCACATAACTGTTTTTTGGAGAGATTTTTGCAATGGGGCCCGTGTACTTGGTAGAGAAAGCAAGCAAGAAATCACCCCGTGGGGGGATGGTCACGCTTCAGCTTCAGTCCCTTCCTCATTCTCCTCTGGGGGTTTTGGGCACACACGCACACACACATGCACACACACGCCTGGCACGAGTTTTAAGCCTCCAGGTGTGGGACTCGAACTCTGGTTGACCTCATGGGAGTCTAGAGACGTAATCATCACGCCATCTGCGGTCCCTCACATGACAGTATATTGTTATAACTGTTCCATTCTGTTTTCACCTAGTGTTGCTCTCACTGTGCCTAACGGAGAGGTCTCACTTTATCACAGGCGCGCTCGCATGGTGCGTTACCGCGGGCGCGCTCCAGGAGGTGAGAGTAGCGCGTTACCGCGGGCGCGCTCAGGAGGTGAGAGCAGCGCGTTACCGCGGGCGCGCTCGGGAGGTGAGAGTAGCGCATTACCGCGGCCGCGCTCGCAGAGGTGAGAGCAGCGCGTTACCGCGGGCCGCTTGCACAGGTGAGAACAGCACGTGCGGCACAGGGCTCGGCACGTTCACGCTTTCAGGCATCCCGCAGGGGCTTCTGCGGCGCTCAGATAAGGGGCCCACTGCATAGAACGACACCGCCCCCGTGGCTATCCAGGGACACTTACCACAGTGCTCAGGATTATGAACAGTACGTCTAAAACTGCTGTAAAATTTAGTGAGTATGCCAACAGCAAATGGCGTGATGGTTACATCGCTGGACTCCTGTGTAGTCGACCGCAGTTCAAGACCCAGGCCCGGTGGCTTAAACCTCATGCCTGTGTGTGCCCAAGATCCCGAGAGGAGAAAGGCTTGTGGCATGGTCGCCCCCTATGGGAGAAGGGGTGCTCTCTCACTCTCCTCTCTCTCCCTCTCTGTCTCTGTCTGGCAAGGCTAGCTCACGTGCCCTCTGGCAAATCAAAGCAAACACAGAGGTGGGCCGGAACACAGAGGTGGGCCGGCAGCTGGTGTGGCGGTTAAGGCACTGGATTCCCACATGACCACCATGGCTTCAGTCCGGTATCCAGCGGCTTCAGGGTCTCGCCGGGTCCATGTGTGTGCACGTCCCAAATCCCAAGAGAACAGAGAAGGGACTGCAGTGTGGCCATCCTACCTGAGAATCTGTATTTCCTGCCAGCACATGCCCTCTATGGCAAAAACCTTAAAAAACAAAATGAATGAGTTTCCGGGACCAGCATCTAGTGTAATGGCTATGTCGCTGGACTCCCATGTAGTCGACCGCAGTTCCAGTCCCAGACCCGGTGGCTTAAACTCACACTGGGCGCGTGTGCGTGCGTGCCCAAGATCCCGAGAGGAAAATAGAGGAGAAAGGATTGTTGTGTGGCCATCCCCCCGGGGGTTGATTTCTCGCTTTCTGTCTCTCTGTCTCTCTGTCTCTCTGGCAAACGCACGCACCCTATAGCAAAAACCTCTCAAAAAAAACAAAAACAAAACAAAACAAAAAAACAAAAGAGCACTTTCCTGGAAAAGTTGTCCTCTGATAAACAATAGGTTATATGTCCCTAAAGGTTTAAGAACCAGGGACCAGCAGTTAGCGTAATGGCTATGTCGCTGGAGTCCCATCTAGTCGACTGCGGTTCGCGTCCCAGACCCGGTGACTTCAAACTCACTCCAGGCATGTGTGCATGCGTGCCCAAGATCCGAGAGGAGAATGGAGGAGAAGAGATTGCGGCGTGACCATCTCCCCTGGGGGGTGATTTCTCGCTTTCTGTCTCTCTGTCTCTCTCTGCCTGTCGAGCACACGCGCCCTATAGCAAAAGTCTCTCAAAAAAAAAAAAAGTTTAAGAACCATCAATAATTCATGGCTTTGTTGCCAAGTTGTAGTTGACAATGGGGAATTTTCCAATTTCAAAGTGTACCTTCTCTTGGGACCAGCAGGTGGTGGGGTGGTTAAGGTGCTGGACACTCCCACATGACTGACCACAGTCTGAGTCCTGGACCTTGGCTTGCTGTCTCACTTTCCACATCTCTCTCTCTGTGTCTCTTTCTGGTTAAATTAAAATAAATGAATAAATAAATAAAATTAAATAAATAATTTTAAAAGTCTATCTTCTCTGAATGTGGAACATACCTATTTTTCTCATTAGGCTTGTTTGGTTTTATAGCTCTCTGGAGGGGGGGGCCCATTACTAAGCCCAGACTGTACTAGGAAGTCAGTCTTAGCCAGGGGTCTCCCATGCATTATTATTATTATTATTATTTTCTTGGAGAGGTTTTATTTTGCTATAGGGCACGTGCGCTCGCCAGACAGACAGAGAGAAACAGAGAGACAGAAAGCAAGAAATCACCCCCCAGGGGGGATGGCCACACCACAATCCCTTCTCCTCCATTCTCCTCTCGGGATCTTGGGCACGCACGCACACGCGCCCGGCATGAGTTTTAGTCACCAGGTCTGGGACTCGAACTGCGGTCAACTACATGGGAGTCCAGCGACATAGCCATTACGCTAACTGCTGGTTCCCTCCCATGCATTATTAACAAGGGCGCAGTGAGGGGGTTAAAGTGAACTCGGGAGGTGTGGGTAGGGCGAGACTGAATGAGTGCATCACCAGTTAATTAGATAAAGGTCCTACTCAGTGACCAGGAAAGCCGAGGCCGGACACGGAGACGCCAGGGTGCCCACAGTCCACCTCGGACAGAAAACAATGTTTCAGAGAGTCAGCAATACAGATTCCCCGTGGCTGTCACCTGGAGTAACACTGTTGAAGGTCCTAACAGCAGTGTCTGGTTCACTCCAAATAATAATACAAGTCCAGGCCCTCTGGCAGTGGTGGTGAACGCAGGGGAGTCCCAGCGGCGTGTAAAGCCCCGAATCCGAGACTTGAGGAGGGACTGCAGCCTGTGGCAAGGTCATCCCCCCGGGGGATGTTTTCTCACCTTCCCTGTCTCTCTGGTGACAGCATGTGCCTTATAGCAAACTTTTTTTTTTTTTGGAGAGGTTTTCGCTATAGGGCGTGTGCACTCACCAGACAGAGACAGAGACAGAGAGACAGAGAGACAGAAAGCGAGAAATCACCCCCCGGGGGGATGGCCATGCCGCAATTCCTTCTCCTCCATTCTCCTCTCGGGATCTACACGCGCCCGGTGTGAGTTTTAAGCCACCGGGTCCGGAACGCGAACCGCAGTCGACTACGTGGGATTCTAGCGCCTTAGCCATTACGCTAACTGCTGGTTCCCCTTATAGCAAACTTAAAAGTATGAAGCAGGGTCAGAGATCGGACAGCACAGTGAGGTTCAGCCTCTCTCTGTCTCATTTTTTTTTTAGAATTATTTTATTGAACTTTATTTTATTTAAGTATTTATTTATTTTAACTTGACCAGAGAGAGACAGAGAGAGAGAAGGAAAGTGAGAAAATAAGTCATCTGGTCCAGGACTCGAACCGCGATCGGCCATGCAGGAGTCCAGCCCCCTTCACCACATCACCTGCGGGCCCCCCGCCTCTTTTTTTTTGTTTTTTTAAGAAAGATTTTTGTTATACAGCATGTGTGCTCGCTGGAGAGACAGAGACAGACAGAGAGACAGAAAGACCCTTCAGGGGGGATGACCACATCGATAATTCCTTTCTCTCTATTCTCCTCTTGGGATTTGGGATGGACGGACAGACACAAACACACACATGCTCCGCATGAGTTTTAAGCCATCAGGTCTGGGACTTGAACTGCATTCAACTACGTGGGAATCCAGCAACATAACCATTATGTCATCTGCTGGTCCCAGGACTTTGAATTTTTCATTCTCCTCTCAGATCTTGGGCATGCTCACCCATGTACCCAGTTTTAAGTCGCCAGGTCCAGGATTCGAACTGCAGTCAACTACGTGGGAGTCCAGCAAGGTAACCATTGTGCTATCTGCTGGTCCCAAGTTCAGTCTCTTTATATTTTAGGTTTTGCTATAGGGCACGTGTGCCCATCAGAGCGGGGGAGTGAAACATCACTTCCCCAGGGGAGATGGCTGCAACACAATCCCTTCTCCACTTTCCTCTGGGGATTGTGGGTGCACACACGCACACACGCACACACACACACACACACACACACGCACACACACACACACACATACACACACATATGCACACACATGCACACACACACGCACACACACACACATGCACACACACACACACACACACACACACACACACACACACATGCCCAGCGTGAGTCCGAAGCTGCCAAGTCTGGGACTCGAAACCAGGAGCCAGCACCTCCATGCCACCTCTGGCCACAGCCTCTTTTTTCTTTTTAAGGAATTATTTATTTAGGGGCTGGCAGGTGGCGTGGTGGTTAAGGGTGCTGGGTTGCTACATGGTCAACCGTGGTTCAACTCCTGGACCTGGCAGCTTGCTTTTTCACTTTTCCTTTTTCTCTGTAGTCAAATTTAAAAATAATAAAAACAAATGTAATTAATCCAATGAATAAATAATTTTTAAAAGATAATTATTAATTTTATTTATTATTATTATTTTTTAATTTCGAATAGGGCAAGTGTGCTCACCAGAGAGAAAGAAAGAGAAGGAAAGTGAGAAAGCAAGCTGCCCGG